GCACCACCCACCCACCCACCCACCAGCACCCTGAACACACCCACCCGCCCACCTTGAGCTTGTCATAGCAGTAGAGGAGGTGGTGGGTGTCGCTGCGCGCATAGTGCAGCATCTCTGGGGTCAGCGGCCGCACGCGCCAGTCGGCCAGCTGGAAGCGCTTGTCGGCCTGCGGGGGCAGAGGGGCGGCGTATGCGCGTGCGCGCGTGCGTGAGTGGCGCGGCGGTTACGTGGCTTTGGCGGGACATGCGGCAAGCAGCGGGGCGGCAAACCATCTGGCAGGCACGGGGCCTTGGGAAGCGCAAGGGCACAGGCCGTCACAGAGCAGCACAACCCGCCGCCGCGGAGCCGCAGCTACAGCCGCACGCGCTGGCCGGCGCGTGCTGCACCCCACCTTGAAGCCGCAGTAGAAGTCGAGGAGGTGCGCCAGGCCGTGGCCCCTCATGCCCAACACCCGCGCCGCCTGCCCCGTGTCAAACAGGTTGGCCAGGAAGAGGCCGAAGTCGCGCTGCAGCCAAGCGACGTCAGAGTCGGCGCCGTGCAGCACCTTGACCACACCCGGGTCGGCAAAGATGGGGGCCAGCGCGGGGCCTGCGCGCGGGGCACGGCGGGGACGATTGGCGGGGGCGACGGTTAGTGAGGGCGGGGGGCATTGGCGGCGGAAACTGTCAGCAAGGGAGGGGGGGTGCTGGGAGGAGGGAGCGGTGCGCAGGGTTGGGGTGGGAGAGGCCCGGGTTGGCAGCGTCAGAACCACCCGCCCCACCCACGCCCTCCACACACAATGCCCACACACCGATGGGTTGGCAGAGATAAAAATCACCCACCCACCCACCCCACCCCACCCCACCCACAGCGCCCACCCACCGACGTGCGCGCGCAGTGCCAGCGTGTCGATCACCAGGTCCTCGCTGCGGGTGCTGAGCTGCATGAGGCAGCAGAAGCCCTGCAGGCAGGCAGGCGGCAGCAGCGCAGGCGCAGGCCAGCACCTCAGAAAAGGCACCATGCGGTACTGCACACCCTCCCTCCGCCCGGCACAGGGCGCCGGTGGGGGCTGGGGCCCTGAGCGCATTCTGCCACTCCGCCACCTCGGCGCCAGCTCAGCACCAGCTCAGCACACCTGGAAGGAGCGGTAGCTGTGCGCCTCCAGGTCCACCGCCAGCTCCCGCGCGGCGGCCAGCCGCTGGGCCGCGGCACGCAGCGCCGGCACGGTATCGATGAAGGTGAAGGGGGTGTCCTCGTGGCTGTGCGGCGGCCGCGCCTCGCCCCGCGCCAGCTGCCAGGCCGGGTACTGCAGCCCCTCCAGGCGCTGCTGCAGCGGGTGGGGCTGCGGCGCGCCGGCCGCCGCGGCCGCGGCGGCGGCCGCCGCCGCCGCCTCCACGTCCACCACTCCCGCCAGGCTGTCGAGCTTGTGCTGGAAGGGGCCCCGGGAGTTGTCCACCGGATCAGCAAAGGCCTCCTGGGGCCGCTGCTGCACTTGGCTCTGGCTGTCCATATACGAAACGAAGCCGCCACCGCTGCCGCCGCCGCCGCCGCCGCCGCCGCCGCCGCCGCCGCGTCGCCCGCCGGCCGCCGCCTGCACGCTGGCGGGCAGCAGCGCCACGCCCGCCGGCGCGCCTGCTGCTGTGCCAGAGGGTCCGGCGCCTGCGGGTGCGGGGCCCTGCTGCAGCGCCTGGCGCGCCTCTGCCACCGAGTCGTCCACCTGCTCCAAGGTGGAGTCCAGCAGGCCGGCCACCCAGTCGCCCGCCTCATCGGCATCCTCAAACACCTCGCTGGGCGGCGCCGCCCCCGCGCCCTGCAGAGGCGGTAGGGTGAATTTGTAAGTGTGCGTGTCTCAAGCAGCGCAGACAGACCAGCTTGCTTGAGCCGCCACGGTGGCAGGCAGCGAGGTGCCCTGGTGGGCGGCGGCGGCGGCGGCGCACCGGCAGCGAGGTCAGCAGCTGCTGCAGCCGGCCACGAAACCCATCCACCTTCTCCTTGAACGCCGCAAAGTTTTTGTAGTACTGCGGGCAGGGATGGAGCAGGGTGAGGAGCATGCAGCTGCATGTGGGAGCTGGCGGGGCTCCGGGGTATTGCAAACGGCTCTTCAATGGACCTACATAGAATTCCCCTTCCTCGGGCAGCACGGCTCTGCCCGCCGCCGCTGTTGCCTTCTCCAGCGCCTTCCTGGCGACGCTGCTGGGGCCCGTCATGCTCCCAGAGACTTGGTAGATTCTTGAATGACAATGAACAACCACCTGGCCGCTCAATGCAAGCCCATCTCTGCATGGACATTAGCCAGAGCGGCGGCCGCGCATTTCGCTTCTTCTGCGTGCTGCTCCCATTGTCTTAGCATCGATCGACGGCCTCTACAGGCAGCACAGGGGCAGGCAGTGAGGAGGCAGCATGTCGCCAGCTCTATCTCAGCAGCGGGCCGCGCCTGCTGTGGCTTGTGCAGCCCGGCTGGGCGGCAGGGCCGGCAGCAGCAGCAGCATCGCCAGCAGCAGGCGGCCAGGCAGCAGAGCGGCACCCCGCCGGCAGACGCTGCAAGGCCGGCAAGCGGCGCTGGAGGTGGCGTGCAGCTTGAACAACAGTGCAGGCACCGCAGGTGGGGCGGAGAAGCCAGCAGAGGGCGGTGGGGCACCATCGCCGCATGTGGTGCCGGCGCCCGAGCGCCGCTCGCTGCTCACGCCGGCCCACCTGCTGTCGCTGCCGCAGTGCCCAAGCCGCTGAAGCTTGATGAGCGGGACACGCTGCGCCTGGCTCTGCCCAGCAAGGGGCGCATGGCTGAGGATACGCTGCAGCTGCTCAAGGTGCCCCAGTCTTGCCGACGGGTCGACCGGCCTGGCTTGCTGCACTGCTGCTGCAGCGGCAGGCCATGCATGGCCCATTTCATGCATCGCGGAGGCTCCTCCTTGTCTCATCCACATTTCTATGACAGCACCTGCCGCCGCCGCGTGCTGCTGCCCCGCCGCTTGCCCGCCCGCAGGACTGCCAGCTCAGCGTGGTCAAGCCCAACCCGCGGCAGTATGTGGCCCGGATATCGCAGCTGCCCGATCTGGAGGTCTGGTTCCAGCGAGCCACAGGTGCGCTGGCTGGCTGGCTGGTGGCTCCAGGGCAGCCGGCAGCTGCTGACAGTGGGGCAGCCGCCGGCCGGGCGGTAGCGGCCGAGGAGTCGTCGCCCGGCTGGGCTGCGGTCCATGCCGTCCCGCATCTGTGCCCGACGGCCGCGGCCGCCGCGTGCTGCTGCCGTGCAGATGTGGTGCGCAAGCTGATCACGGGAGATGTGGACCTGGGCATTGTGGGGCTCGACATGCTGGCCGAGATTGGCAACGACGACCCGGGTGGGTGGCCGCCCACCTTCCCGCCTGCATGGGCGAAGCGCAGCTGTTTAAAGCATGCAGCGGGCTCTTGCTGGGTGTGTGCACGCCGCAAGGCAGAGCTTGCGCCCTGGCCGGCAAGGGGCTGCCCACTCCTCTCCCCACCCTCCTGCTCCGGACCCGCCTCCTCCTCCCGTAGACGTCGTGGTGCTGCACGATGCTCTCGACTTTGGGCAGTGCCACCTGGCGCTGGGCGTGCCCACCGGCGGCCGCTTTGCCGCCATCAACTCGCTGGAGGAGCTGCGCTCCATGCCCTGGAGCGAGCAGGCGCCGCTCAGGTGCGGGGCGCGGCTGGGCAGGGCATGGCTGTGCGGGGCAGGCGGCTGCGCGTGCTCGCGTTGAGCGAGCAGCGAGGTGCTGCATGCTTTGTCCGGTCCGGCCTGCCTGGCGGCTGACCCCAACTGCTGGTGCTGCCCGCCCCGCAGGGTGGTCACCGGCTACCAGAACATCGCCCGCAAGTACTTTGCCGAGAAGGGCTTTGAGAACGTGGTGCTGCTCAGCGCCGACGGTGCGCGCCAGTGCGGGCTTGCCAAGGACGCCCTGTTTGGCGGCGGCAGCAGCCGGCCGCGCTGCCCCTGGGCTGCCGCAAACCATGCTCGCGGCTCGCCTCGGCCCGGCTCGCCTCGCGCGCTGCTGCTGGCTGCACAGACCCTCCGCACAGACCCTCCTGACACTTCGTATTCTGGCGGTGCTCCCCTCCTCCGCCTGCACCTCTTCTCCTAACTGCAGGTGCGCTGGAGGCGGCCCCTGCCATGGGCTCAGCAGACATCATCCTGGACCTGGTCAGCACGGGGGTGACCCTGCGGGAGAACAACCTGAAGCAGATTGCCGGTGGCACCATCATGCACAGCCAGGGCGCGCTGGTGGCCAACCGCCGCGCGCTGCTGGAGCGGCCGGTGCGTGTGTGTGTGATAGGCGGGCGGCGTGGGCCAGAGGGCCGTGGCTGGCTGGGGGCAGATGCTGCGCTTCGTTGCGGCAGGTGGCGCCCGCGCGTGCATGGCGAAAGCAGCACCACCCGCGCCTCTGTTTTCCCGGCTCGCCCGGCACCCCCTCCATACACCGACCATTTGCCCTCAAGCCGCCCCCTCAAGCAGCCCCCTCCCGCCGCCTTCTCAAGCCGCCTCCCCCTGCCGCCACCCCCGCCTCCCCCGCAGGGCCTGCTGGAGATCTGCCACGAGCTGCTTGAGCGGCTGGAGGCGCACCTCACCGCCAACGCCTACTACTCTGTCATCGCCAACATGCGGGGCGGCTCCGCGGCCGAGGTCTCCCTGCGCCTGCTGCAGAACGCGGAGCTGGCGGGGCTGTCGGGCCCCACCGTCAGCCGTGTGTACACGCTGGGCGCCGACGGCAAGGCGGAGCCGCACCTGTATGCCGCAACCATCTGCGTGCCCAAGAAGCGGCTCTACCCGGCGGTCAAGGAGATCCGCAAGGCGAGGCCCGCCTGCCCGCCTGCCTGCTGCCCGCATGGCGCCCAGGGCTGCGGGCCGGGCCGTGCGACCCGCTTGCCGCGCGGCGTGCAGGGAGCATGCCGCCGTGAGCGTGCTTTGCCTGGCGCCAGGCGCCGCCGTCGATGGTACGGGGCCGGTCCAAACCGCGCCCGTGCCCTGCGCCCGCCGCTCTGTGCCGCAGATTGGCGGCAGCGGCGTGCTGGTGCAGCCCATGACCTACATCTTTGATGAGGAGCCGCCCCGCTGGCGCCACCTCCTCGACACCCTGGGCGTCTCCGCCGACAGCTTGGACCTGTCCTGAGGCGGCAGCCGCATGTGGCGAGGCAGCGGAGGGCCGGGCGGCGCGCACGAGCAGCGGACGCCATGCGCCGCGACGCCTGCCGCCCCGCCAGTATCCCGTGTGCTCCCTTGCCGCCAATTTCCTGCTTTTGAGGCCGTTGGTGCAATGAATGCCACACGCACAATCCCAGCACTGCTGCTGCTTTTGCCCTCTCTTCGCACTGCCGTTGGCGCCGCGCCTCCTGGCCGCGCCACTCCATTTCTTTTTGTTACAGTGCACAGCGGCAGCGGCGGCGCACGCCCGGGGGAGGTTCCCGGGCCCCGAGAGGTGCCCTCTCCAGGCTGGCGGCGGTGCGCCTAGCCTAGTGCCGCCGTTGCTGGTGGCTGTGGCGGCTCTTCTGCTGCGACACCGGCGCGCCATGGGAGGGCTTCCACTGCTCGGTGGTGGGCAGGATGGCCATGATGCGGGCTATCTTGACCTGGCGGGCCAGGTGGCGGTGCAGCTTGGCACGCAGGTGCGTGCGCTGCCGCAGCGGCAGCTTGCCCGCGCCTGGAGACGGGCCACAGCACAGCAAGGCAGAAACACGGGTCAGCAGCACGGAAACAGGCATGCGGCGCCTCGCAACCCCGCCTGCACGTTTCGGCGCTCTGTTGCGCTCATGTCTCCCAGCATGCCTCGCATCCTGCCCTCCCGCCACACACACTGAGCCCGCCAACATGCCACCCGCCCGCAGCGCCTGGCCCCTCACCCGACAGGAAGGTCGCCAGCAGCGGCACGTTCTTATAGTCAGCCAGGTCTCTGACCTCGGAGGGGCTGATGGCCGGCGGGGGCTTCTGGTCAAAGTCGTGCGCCGTCTCCGCCTCCTTGTATGGATCCAGCTCCTGCAGGCAGGAGGCAGTGTATGTGTGTGTGCTCCTGTGTGTGTGTGTGTGTGTGTGGCGGTGTGTGTGTCGGAGAGGGAGCGGTGGTGGCGAGAGAGGGAGCAGCGCAGCATGGAGGGCCACGGCGAGCAGCAGCAGCGAGGGAGGCGTGCAGCCAGCTGCCCAGGCTCCCCGGCGTGGCCGCGGCAGCGCGCTGCGGGCTGGGCGCGCGCACCGCGGGGGCGTAGATTTGCTCCGGGAAGAAGAGGCGGGTGGGGTGGATGCGCTGCGGGGAGATGTCGCCGATGTTGTGGGCGCCCCGCTCAAAGCGCGGCGCGTCGGCCGCCATGGCCAGCTGCCCATAACTAGACACGCCCTCAGGGAGGGTTGCATCCTCCACCACCGGGCGCGACGGCGCCACGATGTTATAAATCTGCTGCTCCAGGTCGAAGCCCTTGGCCTTGCGCTGCCCGCGCGGCGCCGGCCCGCGCGGCGCCGCCTCATCTGCTGCTGCCTCGGCAGGCAGCGCCTCCGCCGCCTGCAGCGCGTCTGCAATGGCGACCGCGCGCCGCGACCGCTGCTCCACGTCTGCCGGTGGCGCGGCTGGGCTGGCTGCTGCTGCTGCGGCTGGCTCTTCCGGGGAGCCGCCTGCGGCAAGGGCGGTCGAGGGACAGAAAGGAGCGTGGCGGCAGCGGCAGCTGTGCGGCGGCGATGTTGCTGGCCAGCATGTCTCGGGCATTCGCGCGCCCCCGCCACCCTCACCTCCAAGCGTGCTGTCAAGCTTTGTGTCTATCCAGGAGCGCCACTCCTTGGTCTGCAGACGCGAGGGCCTGGAGGTGCTGCTGCTGCCGCCTGAGGGGGCGGCTTCCGAGGGGGAATCTGCCGCCGATGGGCCGGATGCATCGCTAGGCGCATCGCCGCTGCTGAAAGCGCGCCAGCCGCTAAGGGTCGAGAGCTGGGTGGCTCCCCGCAGCGCTCTTGGCCCCTCTAGCGCCGCTGCGCTGGTGCTGCAGGCCCTGCCAAGCTGCTGGGCCGCTCGCAGCATGGCTTGCTCCTGCTCCCGCTCAGTAAGCTGAGAATGGGTGGGCGTGCGTGCACGGTTGATGCTGCAGTGTGGCCTGAATCTGCGATGGTTTGATGCGACGCGGGCGAAGATGGTGCCAATCGAGCCTCGATTGTACTGCGTACGGCATTGACTTTTTCCGATGCGTGGATGGGAATCCCAACTGCTGCTGGTTTTCGATGCTGGAGTACTTGCCAGTTGCTGCAGTGCATATGACAGCCCTGCTCTGACCGCCACGCATTTTGATTGCCGTCCTCTAGCTCCCTGGGCAGCCATGCCCGTCAGGCTGCCCTTCTCCATTCAAGCATGCTCCGGGGAGGTCAGGACGCTGCCGGAAAGGCCCCCACTGTCGAGCCCTGTCGCCGAGTTTGAGTGCCGCTCGGCTCCCAGGCTCTAACCCCGCCCCTTCTCGTGCCCGCAGGACCCCGAGTTCCCAGCAACAGAGCTGCTATACCACAGCGCCGACAGGAAGGGATGGTGCACGCCGAGGTGCGGTGGGCGCGGCACGCGGCGGTGGGGGCGGCGGCAGGATGCGCTGCGTGCGTGCTGCTTTCTGGCGCTGCAGAGCAAGTCACGGACGCGTTACGTGGCACCCCATTGCGGGACAAGGTGGCCTCTGCCGCGATGCCGGGCTCTCAATCTCTGTGCAGGTTTTGCCAGTACCCACAGGAGCTCACGCTGCGCCTGGAAGCGGCGGCGCGCCTCACCCAGATCCAGCTCCTCTCTCACGAGTTCAAGATTGTGGGCAAGGTGGAGCTGCTGGTGGGCACGTTTGAGGGCCCTGGAGGTGGAGCTATGAGCGGCAACGGCTCGGTGGGAATACCCGCGCCGTCGGCCACCGCCGCCGACCCCAGCAAGGCCACCTGGCGCCGCCTCGGCTTCCTCGCCTTTGACACAAACGAGGGCAGCGGCTTCTCCGCGCGCGAGCTCAAGAGCGTGGCGCTCAACGGCGTGCCCGCCCAGCTGCTGCGCCTGGTGATCCACCGGTGCCACGCCAATGCCGCCAACGCATATGGCCAGGTAGGGTGAGGACAGCCACATGGGCTGGTGCCCCGGTTGGCTGGCAGGCGGGGTGGCATCATACACGGGTGACCAGATCCCAGCTGGTGCACCACCTGCTTCCCCACCTGCTGGCACCTGCACCTGCAGGTCAGCCTTGTAGCCATCAACCTGATGGGCGAGCCGCTGGGCCCCACACCGCTCTCTCCCATCACCAACACCGGCGGGCCCTACGCCACGCTGCACGGCGGCCTTCCGCCCGGCATGCTGCCGCCCCAGGCCGCGGGCATGGGCCTTGGGCACCCGATGCAGTCGCCACAGCAGTACATGCAGCCACCGCAGGCGCATCTGCAGCACTTCATGCCACCGCCGCCGCAGCCGCAGCAGCAGCAACGTGTGCCGAGCCCGGCCGAGGCGGCTGCGGCGCTGGCGGCAGAGCTGGGTGTGGACGCAGTCACGGCGCAGCGCATCGCAGACCTGCAGCAGCAGAAGCAGCAGGTGGGGCGGGGATGGGAGCGCGACAGGCTGGCTGCTGCCAATCGCCGCTATAAGCTATAGCCTGCCGCCGCTTTGCCAGCAAGTGCCCTCTTTGGCATCTGCTGCTCCTTGCTGGCATGCGCTGCCCGTGCCTGCTTCCCACTGCGGCCGCCGCTACCCACCCATGCCTTCCCACCAACAGGCGGTGGAGCGGGAGGACTATGATGAGGCCAAGCGGCTCAAGGGGGCGGTGGACCGGCTGCGTGCGGCGGGTGGCGCGATTGCGGGGCTGGAGGCGCGCAAGGCGGCCGCTGTGGAGCAGGAGGACTATGACTTGGCCAAGCAGCTCAAGGTGGAGATTGACAGGCACAGGTGGGCGCCGCAGTGCTGCAGCGGCGTGTGCTGGGCGCTGGCGCTGCAGTGCGAGGGGTGCGCAGGGATGTGGTGCCTTGGGTGTGTAGATGGCAGCGCAGCGTGGCGCCATGTGGCTAGGTGGCTAAACCAGGGTGGCTCGTGCCGGACTGGCTCAGTATTATAGAATATAGATTCTTGTAAAGTTTTCGCTGCTGGGCCGTGCTCACGTGTGTTGCAGAGCCAAGGCATACGCAGCTGCCCTGTCGGGCCACGGCGATGGCGAGGACGCCTTCTCGCCGCCGCGCAGCCGCCGCGCCAGCGCTGTGGGTGGCGCCCCGGCGCCCTTGGGCGCGGCCCGGCTGTCGGAAGGCGGCAGCGGCCATGCGTCTGGCGAGCCCTCAGCCGCTCAGCGTCACGCAGCGGCAGCAGTCGAGGGCGGCGGCGACGACGCCTCGCCTCCCGCGGGCGCAGCCGCGCGGCGGCGGCAGTTGCCGGCTGGCAGCCCATCTGGCAGCGACTGGAACGCGTACGACGAGCGGCCTGCGATGGCAAAGGGCGCCTACAGCATCCCAACCGGCGACGAGGCCAGCCAGCCCACCGCCAGCCGCCGCAGCAGCATGCCTGGTGCAGCAGCGCGTGCGTCTGCTTCCCATGGCAGCGACGCAGGCCCAGCGCCCGCTGGGTTTCCCTCAGGTACGGCTGTGAGCTAGTGCCGCGCTGCCTGCAGCGGCTTACGCATGCCTGGTAAGGCCGCTTGCTGTTCTATTCGATAACGTCTTCCTCCCCGCTGCTATGCATGGCCCCCGCAGACCTGCCGTCGCCCGAGGCGCTGTCGGCGGTGGATGCCAAGGATGCGGGGCCGCTGGCGGAGGTGGCTGGGGAGTACCTGGCTCGCTGCGTGTTCAGCCGCACCTGGCAGCTGCGGGAGGCGGCGCTGGTTTGGCTGGCAAAGGAGCTGGAGGGCGGCAGGATGGAGGGCGGCTCGGGTGCGCAGGCGGCTGGCTTGTGGGCAGGCTTCGCACGGCTGCCTGCTTGCTGTACGTCTTAACGTGGCATGTTCTGCCTGCCGGCCGACGCGTGCTGTCACACGTGGCTGCTGTCGACTGCCCCTGCCCCGTGCAGACAACCTGAGGACCCTGATGCGTGTGCTGCTGCGCACGCTGCGAGACAAGGTGGTCGCAGTGTGTTCGGCATCCCTGGCTGCGCTGCGGGCGCTGGTGGCAGCGCAGGCAGGCGCCTGCCCGCCGCGGGACCTGCAGGCTGCTCTGGGGGAGCTGCTGCCGGTGCTGGCGGAGAAGGCGGCGGATCTCAACCAGCGCACGCGGGAGCAGGCGACAGAGGCGCTGGTTGCGCTGGCGGGCGTGCCCGAGGCGGGGCTGCGCAGCGCCACCGCCCCCTTCCTTCGCGCCCCCAAGGCGGGGGCCGCCTGGAAAGTCGTGCTGGGCAGGTGGGGGCGTGCAGCGCTGCTCGTGCAGACGCTTGTTTCTGTGCCCACGTCGCACTGCTTGCTGCGTGTGTGAGATATCGTGCAGAACGTGGTGGGCCATGCAGCAGCTGAGCAGCCCTGGCATCCATGCCGGCCCTTCCCACTGCCCTGCAGGCTGCAGCTGGTGTCGGCGCTGCTGCCGGTGATTGGCATGGCAGGCGAGGGCTCCAGCGAGGGCTTCCCGCTGGGGCCGCTCATGGGCTTTGTGGGGCCGGCGCTGAGCAACAGCAGCGCAGAGGTTCGCGGCGCAGCGGTGGCGCTGACGGTGCAGGTAGCTCTCCTGGCGGGGCCCTCGGTGCAGCGTCTGCTTCCGACGGACCTGAATCCAAAGGTCAGGGAGCAGATAGAGCAGGGTATGCTCAGCGGCGCAGTGCCAGCCCCTGCCGCCGCTAAACCTCCATCCTCCGCTGCACGTGGCGGCGCAACAGCCTCTTCGGCCCGGCCGCAGCAGGCAGCGGCAGCGGCAGCTGGGGCCAAGCCTGCCGGCGCGCCGCAGCGGCAAGCCGCGGCAAAGCCGCCGCCACTTCACCAGCAGCAGCAGCAGCAGCAGGAGGCAGGCGGCATGCAGCCGACGCCGGCAGTGGCGGGCCTGGCGGCGGAGGATGAGGCGTCTGTGTATGAGGGCGAGGTGCGGGCGCGGGAGGCGCGGCTGGGGCCCAGCCACCCCGATGTGGCTGAGGCCGTCAGCAACCTGGCCATCTTATACAACCAGGTAGGAGCATGCCGCGGGCAGGGGGCTGCTGGTCCCGCTGCACGGCCGACAGATTTTGTTTGGATGGCAGCAGTGCCTGGCTGCCCCACCACCCCGTTGCCTGCGTCGTTGCGTCTACTGCAGCGTGGGGATGCGGGCAGGGCGCTGCCGCTGTACGAGCGAGCTCTGGCCATCTGGGAGGCAGCCTGCGGCCCCGATTCTCCCGACGTGGCGCACACCCTCACCGACATCGCCGTCATCCACCTGGAGCAGGTGGGCAGGGTGATGCGAAGGAGTACTTTAGGGAGTAAAAATGTGGTGTGGTGTAGGGGGGGCGTAGTCCAGGCTGGCTGCACGTGCTGTGGCTGGCTGGCGGTGGCTGCTGTGCTTCCTTCAAAGGAAGCTTGAAGTAGCATGGAACGCATGCCTCCTGTTTTCCACCGCATCTCATTTGAGGCCCCTGCCTGCTCCGTTGCTGCCGTGCGCGCCTCATGCAGGGCCGCGACGACATCGGGCGGCCGCTGCTGCAGCGTGCGCTGCGCATCCAGGAGGCGCACCTGGGGCCCGCCCACCCTGACGTGGCCGCCATCCGAGATGTGCTGATGGAGGATGAGCTGGGGGCTGGCCGGCCCTGAGGCAGCGGGCAGAGGCGCCCCTTGAGCGGCCGCCAGCGCTGGCCGGCTGGCCTGGCGTGACTCGCGAGTTTCGTATGCTACTCTGGTGGTTTTGACTTTTTGCATGACAGACCTGGCTGTTTGCTTGACCGTTCCACTGCTTTGACTTTACATCCGATTACAACCGTCTTCATCCAAAACACGCATGTCTTGATGAAGGCTTGAAGTGCTGGATGGAGCCGGAAGCAAACTCTCCGCACTGCTTGGTGCCATCGCTGCTATTGCTGGGCGCCGTCGCCGCTGCCGTCGCCGCTGCCGCCGCCGCTGCTGCTGCTGCCAGCGGCCTTGGCCGGCAGCTGCGCCACGTGCAGCGCCTGCAGCTGGTCTGCCGCCACGCCGGCGGGCGCGCCGGTGAGCGCGCACTGGGCCTGCGAGGTCTTGGGGAAGGCGATGACGTCTCGGATGGAGGGCACGCCTGCCAGCAGCATGGCCAGACGGTCCAGCCCAAACGCGATGCCTGCGCGGCGGCACGGCCAGGAATGTCGGCCAGGGGTGTCGGCGTTCACCTCGTCGCCGCAGGCAGAGGCAGGCAGAGGCGCGTGTGCGGCGGAAGCGCATGCACGGAGCAGCGGGCTGGGCAAGCCGGCCGGCGGGCAGGGCGGGGACGCGGCGTGCACGCTGGGTGGGGGGCGGCCGCGTGCGGCGCGGCCGGCTCACCGCCGTGCGGCGGCGCCCCGATTTCGAAGCAGTCCAGCAGGTATCCAAACTTGGAGCGCGCCTCCTCCTCGCTCAGCCCGATGGTGGCAAACACCTGCTGCTGGATGTCGCGCCTGCAGCCCAGCGGGGCGGGAGGGAAGGGAATGGAGGCGAGTGTGAGGGGGAGGCTGAGGGCCTTGAGAGCGCCGCTGGCGGCACCGGGCCGGGTTCCCACCACCACAGACACACACGGCACGGCGCTCCCGGCCCGCGCAATGCTGCCCGCGCCGCGCACGAGGCGCCGCGCCGCGGGCAGCCGCGCCGGGCCGGCGCGGCAGCCAGGCCCGTGCACACGCACCCAGCCGCGCGCCACCCGCCGCAAACCGCACCGCCGCCCTCCACCACCACCCCCGCCCCACCTGTAGATGCGCAGGCTGCCGCCCCCAATCTCCACCCCGTTGTACACCATGTCGTAGGCCAGCGCGCGGGCCCCCGCCAGGTCGCCGCGCGCCAGGTCGTCGGGGTGCGGCGCGGTGAAGGGGTGGTGCAGCGCCTCCAGCCGCCCCTCCTCCTCGTTGCGCTCAAACATTGGAAAGTCGACCACCCACAGCAGGCTGTGCTGGCCCTCCTGCCGTAACAGAGGGAACACACGGCATTGCGTGCCAGTACTCGGCCGGTGGCACAGGTACAGAAGCCGAGTGCAGCACAGCGCAGTCAGGCCTGATATCTCCTGCCTCCTTCCACCTTGCTGCTTCCAGTCACAACAGCCCCACCATCGGCTCCCAGCCCAGGAATGCACGCCGCTGATGCCGGCACGCCAGCGGGGCGGCCCCGCCTCAAGCCTGCCACCAGCCTGCCGCCGCCCACCTTGATCAGGTCCAGGCTCCTCCCCAGGTACAGCCGCACCCGGTCCAGCGCCTTGTTCACAGCGCCCGCCGGCCCCGCCGCCAGCAGCAGCAAGTCTCCCGGCTCGCCCTGCGCGCAAGGCACAACGCAAGACGCAGGCAGGCAGGCAGGCAGGCAGGCCAGCGGGGTTGGAGCGAGGCAGATGCAGGCGGCACGGCCAGCTGCCCTCCCAGCAGGCCCCAACAGAGGCCCCCCTCCTCTTCCGTCACCAACAGCGCCGCTCGCCTGCATCTGCTGCACCAGCGCCGCCCGCTGCTCCTCGCTGAGCCCCTCCATCACCGGCTTGGCTGCCTCAATCGCCCCTCCCTCCGCCACCCGCACATACACCAGCCCCGCCGCGCCGCCGGCGACCGCCTCATCTGCGGCAGGGGCTCACAGCAGCGGGCGGTGGCGGTGGCGCGCGGGGCGCCGCCAGGGGTGGCGGCGGGTGCAGCACCCTGCCAAAACCTGTGAACACGCAGGCCCCTGCTGCTCCCAGGCACGAGGCGGGTGGCAGGAGGCCGGCCCGTGCCCTTGGCTGCACCCGCCACCAGGCCGCCACTCACTAGAGACGTCTCCCTTGGGCTTGACCCTGGCGTTGGAGACCTGCCGGCCGTCAGGCACGCGGATGCCCTTCACAATCCCTCCCGCCGCCACCGCCCCGGCAAACACCCTGCGCCAACGTCAGTCCAGCCGGGGCAGGGGCAGGGCAGCAGAGGGGATACGCAACGCAGCCACGCGTGGGGAGCACCCCCAGCTGGTAGCCATACACCCTTCATCCGCTTCAGCCACCACACACAAGCAGCACCATGCCCGCCTCCCCCCCCCACCACACACACACACACACTCACCTGAAGCCGCACTCCCGCACTGCCTCAGTCACTTCAGCCATCTCCAGCCCAAACCGAAGGTCAGGCTTGTCTGCAGCAGCCAAGGGCAGCCAAGGGCAGGCACCAGCAACAAGTCGAAGGCAGCAGGTTCGGAGAGGCAGCAGCAGGGCAGCGAAGCGGGCACAGCAAGGTGGGGCAGCAGGCGGAAAGGGCCAGGGCAGCTGCCAGGCCAGCGCTCCAGCTCCTCTCCACCGCCGGTGGCACCAGCGGTACCACAACCCTCGCCGTGCCGGAGCCAGCCCCTGCCAGGCCCTGCCTGCCGGCGCCTCACCCGAGGCATACTTGGCCATGGCCTCTGCATAGCTGAGCCGCTGGAAGGGCGCCGCCACATCCACGCCCGCCACCTGCAGAGGCACCGCAGGGGACGCCGAGCGGCAGCACCAGCTCAGCGGTGGCGAGCCGAGACCCAGGCGCAGGGCATGGGGTGAGGACCGCCGCCCGGATACGCCCGTGCGTGGAGACGGTGCGCCAGCCCTCGGCGATAGCCTGCCCCCTCCCTCCCTCCCTCTCTCACTCCCTCTGCTGCCCCACCCTGCAATTCTCGCTC